CTGAGGGTTTTCACCGCCATTGTTGATCCTAGCCAATGTTTGACTTGGTAGATTATCCCACAGCAAGTCCAGATCTCCCGCAGGGCCTGATGACGGGGCTTTGGAAGGTGTCTCTGCTGACTGCAAGACAACAACATCTGGCTCCTTGTTCTGATGTGCTACAAGGACTGTGCCACCAACAAAGGCTGCCCCAATGAACAGTATGACTGTGAATAGAATAAATAACTGCCGCTGTCTCTTTCGTTTTTGCTCTCTTTCCTCAACTTGTTGAAGATTCACTGGGTTGGCCAGTGGCCTCGCGTGCTCTTCATCAGGATCATCCAGAACTGGATTGGCTACTGCCAGCTGCTGGTTTTCACTAGTTGCATTGTTGGTGCTGGGCATTACAGTGTTTGTTCCTTCAACAAAGGAGGATTCAGCTGGATCCTGCAGCTGTACCAAACCACCCCGTCCAGAAGTTCCACTCGCTCCTACAAGAGAGAATTGGAGAGTGTTTACACGCAGCAAGGCCATTCCTGGGGCTCCCATGTACGCTCCTGGTCGGGGCAACATTGGGCTTGTCCGACACAGTGTGGTTTGCTGGATCATTTCTCCTTGTTGTTGGGTATTTTCTGGTGGCACTGGTTCTTTTCCCACGGCCGCTTTGTGTGTTCCCTTTGCCAGCTTTTCCATTTTGGCGGTTTCACTTATTTCTGTTTCCACCTGTATGGGGTTATGATTGGGAGTGGCATTGTACGATTTCTTGAGTTCTTCTTGTTCTTGTAGATGTTCTGCCATTGCCTGACCAGCTCGTTCTGCCACAATCTCCATGATTTTTTCTGTTGCTTCGTATTCTTCTGACTTGACTTCATTTATGCTTCTAGCACGAGTTGTAGTCAAAGAAATGGTAGGTGTCGTTTTGGCATGCCTTTTCTTGGCAACTTGCCTCTTGTCTTTGCCTTGAACTTTGATGGCATCAGATTCTTCATCTTGGTACTGTTGTGCGGCTTCTGCCTTTTCTCGCTTGGTGAGGCTATCCATTACTGCTGAGTCAAGCTGGTCCGGCGGATTCTCAACGTCTCTAGTAGAGTTACTAGCTTGACCATTGCCATATTGTTTGTTTGATGGATTCATCTTCTTGGGAATGTTATCAGCTTTGTCTTCGTCCGTCTTACCAGGTAATGCAGCGGAGATACGAGCGATATTGCAGCCTTTGCCATGGCCATCCAGCGTCCTCAAACGGCATTTGCTCTGTGGAGAAGCACGTTTGATGTTTCCCAGCTTGTTTCTCGTTTCCCGTTTCCCGTTGTTTTTGCAAGCAAGAGTTCTGATTTGCGGCTAATTCACCTTCACCTGCACCATATGTATTGGATTCTTTTCATCACCTTCATTAATAATGTCATTAGTTGCTAGAGGGAAACCATGCCTTATGTACCAGACACAAAGACGGAAAATGTCTGAGAGGGCAACTTTCTTGTCAAATACTTAAATACTTTAGACTACATGTACTTCGGTGCGCAAAGACTTTCGAATAACCAATAAGTGCTGGCTTCAAATACTTTACATCAGTGTTGGCAGCAAAGTTGCTTGGATGCTGGAAGGGACGTGCTACCGATACATGTGGTTGGTACTGGAGCCACGGAATTCTTGGAGACTTTGGGCACAGTCATTATTCTATCTATGCATGTAGATGTCAGTTAGAGCATTGGAATCAGTGTTTGTGGACCGCATTTTGACGGCCTTTTCCTCTTGGAACTTGTATTTGCAGTACCAACTTGGATTGATTCTCTGATGCTTCAAACCCAGCCAGTGTGAATAGACAACACCGGGAACCGATTGAATGAATCATTCTCTCGGTGAAACACAGATGTAGGCCAGAACCCTACAAGTGACAGTCTGCATGATTCGGTGCCTGGCATCATTCATCTATGCAAGTTGACGGTTGCCCCCATGCTTGTTCCATGTGAACTGGTATTGTGACGGTAACTACGGTAGAGTATCTTTGTACTGGTTTGATGTCTGCCTGGCTCAGCAGGCTTGGATTCATTAGCAGTTACGATGGGCTCGTAACAATTTTCAGTAAACGTTACTTTCTCCGGTCACTCTTTACCAATAGAAATCACCCAAGAAGTATTCGATTTGGTAAGCGTTATCCACGCCCGGAATAAAAGTTACAAGACCGACTGGGCGATCGTGGAGCGTATCTATCTTTTCCTGTTCCAACGTCCCAACACATATGCAGCATAAACAGCTGCACAAACCGCAAAACCAAAAGATATCAATCAATCGAAAGGAAGCAATACAATAGAACAGAAAAGAGACAAAGACGACGAGAATGATGATGAACAGCAACAACAACCCCACGAAAGCCGACGCTGTGGTGGTCAACGATGACAAGAACCCCCATGGACCTGGTCGAGTGGTGTACCACATGGATGCGTTGGAGCAAGATTCGGAGGATATTCCGTTTGTCAAGGGCGAAGTGCAGCTCTTGGAGTACCGCGATGTCAACTTTGCTCGATTGTTCTACATCCAATTGGTGGCTGTCTTGGTGACGGCTGTCTTTACCATCTTTGCAAGCTCGGATTCTGCTGATAGCAGCACTTCTACCACTTCTACTAGCGCCACTACAGCTACTGAAGACGACGACTTTTCGGGAAGCACCTTCTTGCTCATTCTGGTTGTATCGGTACTGGCTGCCAGTGTGGGAGTCGCGAGTTTCCTGACCCTCATGATGAACCATTCGGAATGGATTGTTCGAGTTTCCTTCTTTGCGGCGCCGACACTCATGTTGGCATTTGGACTCGTTCTGGTTCTCGTCGATTCCGGAACTTCCAGCACTTCAAATACAAACGATGACGATGGCACACTCAGCGCAGGAGGCCACTTTTTGGTGTATGCCGTCGTCTTTGCCGCCATTTCGGCGTGTGTCTATCACTACTACCAGAAATTCATTCCCTTTGCCGCATCCACGCTACAAGTTGCCAGTATGGCCGTACGATCCAACCGCGGACTCTACCTTCTTACCGCCGCCATGCCCGTGGTTTTGGCGGGTTGGTTCACGCTCTGGAGCACAGCCTTGGTCGGAGTCTTGGCCATGACAGACTCTACTGCTACGGATACTACCACTACTGTCAGTCCGCAGAGGACTTGTGCACCGGGAGATATATGGTGTGATGACAGTGACACGACGACAGCAGCACCACTCTCCGCAACTGCCACGGTCGGAATCTTGCTCCTCCTTGTTTCCTTTTATTTCACCCAACACGTCATTATCAATGTCTTTCATACCACAACTGCAGGAACCGTGGGAGCATGGTGGTTCACTCCGCTCGCCGATCCCAGTCTCTGCAACTCGGCCACCACGGACAGTCTTTATCGATCCCTCACGTACAGTTTTGGATCCATTTGTTTTGGATCTCTCATTGTCGCCATTGTACAGACACTCGAACACATGGCCCGATCGGCACGACGCAATCGACGTGGAGCTCTCCTGGCGTGTCTCTTGGAATGCATTCTGCACTGTCTCCGCCGATGGATTGAATATTTCAACAGCTGGGCATTTGTTTATGTGGGACTCTACGGATACGACTTTTTGACGGCCGGACGAAACGTCATTTCCCTCTTTCAGAATCGCGGATGGTCTTCCTTTGTCGCCGATCGGCTCGTCTTTCGCGTCTTGTCCTTGGCCAATTTGGCCGTGGCCATAGTGTCGGGTGCATCTGCCTGTTTGACCGATGTCATGGCCGGACCCGTCATGCCACCCGATGACAGTGGCGACTTGACGCCATCGCGCTTGGTTGCCTTCTTTTCCGGTTTCATTATTGGCATTTTGGTCAGCAACACGGCACTCTTTGTCATGGAATCGGCCGTACGAACCGTCATTGTCTGCTTTGCCGAATCGCCTACGGAATTTTATGAATGTCATCCCGATCTCTGTGAACTCATGCGATCGGGATGGGCCGCCGCCTATCCCGATGCATGGGCTAGCTCCAATTACGAATCCGTATTCATGGCCGTCGAAGCCAAAGTGGTGGATGATCACAAGGACAACAATTACAGCAACAACAACAGCGGCTACGACAGCAAGGGGACTACGGCCACCGCCGTGCAACTGATTGTGTGAGTTGAGAGAGATCCCCTGGGTGCTTGGCGGCACCGCTCCGTGGTGTGGCGAAATTCATATTACATATAGAACAATTTTAACTGAATGGTTCATGCGATTTCAGGGCTTCTGGCTGGGGCTGAAGTCTGGGTATCGAGATCATGCTTCGCACGGCATGCAGCACAGCATAGGATATTCATTGCGGTTGATGGTGCTCTTATGACAACGGTGCCAGCGCCTTTTTGGATCTTGCTTGTTTTCCTAACTAGGAGACATACCGGCAGGGCTGGTTGGTGGTGTCTGGCTTGTAGTTTATCGCGGGGTACCACCAAAGCTCGGAGCATGATCCTTTGAGAGACACCCACACAGCACGGTCGACATGCGATTGTGAAAAGTCCAAATCTGGGAATCGAATTGGTCATCTCTCTGAGCCCACACCCACATCCTCCACTTCTAATCTGGCTAAGTCCTACTATAATGACAGCATTATTCTTTCCTCGACACCGTTCGTACTGGTGTCCCCTCCCTGATCCCCAATGCAGCAATCAAGGTACGGTAACAGAGCACTCGCATGGGCATCGACGCTCGCCCCCTGAGAATCGAACCACCCCGAGCGTCGATTCCCACACTCCAAGCAAAGAAGACCTAAGACGCAGAGAGGAGCCCCTCCAAGGTCTTGCTTGTTTTCCTCCTGTGGAGTCCGCAGAGCTGGTTGGTGGTGTCTAGAGCCGTCTAGCTCTACAGTACAGTAGCGGTAGCTCTCTGGCTAAGGCCCCTTTGTTTTCAGAAATATTTGCCACAGAGGCGCGGCCTTAGACGTTCAGAATTATTTGCCACCGAGGTGTGAGCCTTATTATAATATTAATTATAATAAGTTAGAGGTGCAGAAATTTGCCCAGAGAGCCCCTCCAAGGTGCAAAAAGGATGCTCCCAAGAGAGCCATACAGTACGACTGTACCGATGGCACTCCTCATCCTCATCCACACCAAAGATCTACGGTACATCATAAAAAGGATTGCGCCATCTGGGAATCGAACCCAGGGCTCAACGAAACTGCTTACTGTGGTTGGCAACGTTGAATTTTACCACTAAACCAATGGCGCTGCGAGTGCTGAACATCTCTGCTGGTAACAACGAGGGAAAAAGCGGTATTTATACATTAGTATACTGTAGGTTTTGGACATAACTTGCCTCAGAATGGAGCACCTTTTTATCTGTAAATACCAGGGTTGCTGGTTCAATTAATACTTCATGAAATAGTTCAATTAGGGTTCACGAACCGTTCATGAAGCGCACGTTCATGAAGTTTCATGGGGGGTTTGGCCACTCATGAACTAGGTTCAAAGTTCATCAGAATACAAAATTTGGTGAACTTTTCCACATTATTGGTTCATGAGAATTCTGCACCATAAATGAGGCAACACAGGTCTAGTAAGCAAAATTTTCCTGACTTGCAAAGCCACCTTCAGTCCACTATCCACCAGCTACACTTGGCCAGGTTTGGTGACCCAAGTATCGGCGTTTGTTCTTGAACGAGCATACAGCCTGTATTTGTAACCATAACCCTGTATTTGCTAACCATAACCCTAGGTTTGGTTCACGAAGGTTCATGAAGGTTCACGAGGCTGCTCAAAATTGGGTTTCAGAACTGTTCAGTTCATGAGCATTACGTTACCCGAACTTTTTCATGAACAGAGTTCGTATCCAAAATTAGTTGAACCAGCAACCTGGTAAATATGGTACAGTGTACCTTGCAAGTGGCTCATCGACACCAGATCATTGGACAGCCCGACTACGCATGGGCGGGCGCACTGCAAAACGTATGGGCCGGGCCCAACTTTGCCGTCGAGGAACCTGACATTGCCGCATCCCCACACGGGATCACCACCATTGATATTCATTACGAAGCCAACACGGCGTTTGAGGCAGCTCTCGATGAAATACACTACAACACTACAACAGGAATTCGTTTCCATGTAAGACCAACCACACCTTTTTGGCAACTACGAATGGCCCAAAAACAGCCCCAATTCACCCACCAACAGGCCTTTGACGCCGTCGGTGGCGCTCGGTCTCACGGCCTGTAATACGTCGTTGCCACCGCTCTTTTCGGGAACGGAATTTTTTGTTTGTCACAATGATAACGGAATTCTACGACACCCTCGTTCATACCACATTACGGGTGTATCCAGTGACACGACACATGGAGAACATCTCAAGTTTGCAGTGTCATCCATTCGACTGGACGAAGAACAAGCTTTCTATTTGGTCAGCTCTATCTTGATTTTTGCTGGTTGTATGGCATTTTTGCTTCCAATCTTTGTGCCAAAATATCTGAACTGCGATCCACCAGCACTACTACCGGTATGAGCTTGATGATGCGCTCAAGGAATGACGGGAGTGGGACTGTTCGACATCTTCGGGAATCGAATCAGTGCGCTCGGGCGGTTCGTCGGACTTGTCATCCCCAGTTCTTCCGTCTCTGCCCGGACAAATGGCAATTGTTCGACGATCAAAAGTCAAACGTAGTGGTTGTCTTCATCCTGTCGGAGGTTCGAGGATGGTGATGCTTGACGACCACTGAGGTTATCTTGGCATCTGACAGACAGATGTCTTTCAAGACAACCATATACGCAACAAAACGAAAACCACCGCGGTGGTGGAGGCTCGACATGCGGCACCAGGACTTGGCACAAAGCTTAGTCGACCACGCCACTTGGGTTTTCCTTTGATCGCCGGCTACGGTACTTCGGAGGAAATAGCATCTACCCGGAACGGCCTCTGCAAAAAGACTTTCGACGCGCCCCAGACGCAGGAATTACTTGGTAATGAATACACCAAAAGAGACAGTTGAGAAAGCTGACGATCGATGCCAATGAATGCAAATCTGGCAAAGATGACAACTCTGCAGCAGACAATGAAAGGTGTGATGGGGAGGTAACAAGGCGGGAAATGACAACAACAAGGAACAAGCTGTCATTTTGGAGGATGAACAGTGTGTCTACCACGCCAAACAGCGACATTACCAAGCAGTTGATTGCAGAGAGGCAATCAGTCGTTGAGCAACACTATTGTGAAACGCGCTTTGCTGCGGAATCAGATGAACGTCTCCGAGCTCAGGAGAGCACAATTGAGTCATTGCAGCACCAGGTTCTTCAAGTGTCTGCTTGACAAAGAGACCCGTAAAAAGTCCCCGCGAAAGCCAGGGGATGTTTTAGGCAAACAGAGGTGCGTCTGCTCTTCGATGGAACCGTACCGGTGCTGTACTACTTCGCAGGATGCGAAGACGGCCCTTACAAACTTGTGAAGCTCAAGCAGACACATCTGCTATGCTAATTATTCAAAGAGCTGCGCATCGGTGGACAGTCGTGGAGAGGGACAACAATTGAGTGGTATCGATTCATGGAGTGGTTGTCCATATAGCGTTGTCGTGGAAGCTTTGAAGGGTTTCTCTCCGGAAGCTCGATGCCCGATGCCCGATCAAGCACTTGATCGATGTAGAGGACCATTTCACTTTGGCACCCGGTGTGCGGTACGGTACAACCTGTATTAGTACTCTGGAAAGACTTGCAAAAAGTTTGAAATGCCGTTGACAGCTTGCTCGCAGTCTGCTGGTTGAGGGCCATAGGAACATAGAAACATACTACAGTAGCGGTGCAGGTCCGGCCCATTTAGCGCACTTCGCTGGATGCAAAGACAGCCTAGCTAGAGCTCAAGCAGGCACATCTGCTTCCTAGCTAGCCAGAAAAGAGCTGCGGGACCAGAGAGATCTTCCCGAACTCCTCACAGCTAACGTAGCTGACCTCGGCAGTCTATCTGCCTGAGCCCTCTACCCCTTTAATGGCAAAAATTCTGTCTGTGGGATCCCCTTGTTTTGTGTCTGTGGGATCCCCCTCGTTTTGGTGAAGCCAAGGTATAGGGTCAAGATTACATCGTTGCCACTTGCCACTTGCCGCAGCGCCACAGCCATTGATCGAACTTGTCACTTGCCGCAGCGCCGCAGCCGTTGATGGAACTTGCCACTTGCCGCATCGATCCATCGAACCAACAGCCATCGATCTCGACAATAGCCATCAACCGCATAGTAAGCTCAACAAGCACCAGCCAGCTACTTGTACAGCCACCAGCCATCCGGAGACAAGGACCATTCGTCAAGGCACCAACCGGGGTGACAAGTAACCATGCCTGTCAAGTACGGAACACCTGCTTACCGCAGGAAGATTGAAGCCAATCGGCGATCCAAACAGAAAAAGCAGGCACAACAAACAGACGAGGAACGGCAGGCTCAGTTGAAAGTCAAAAGAGAATTCATGCAGAAGCATCGAGAACAACAATCTATAGAAGAATATGAGATTGCCAAAATAAAGGATCGAGGGAGGAAACGGATCCGCCGCTTAAAGAATGAATTCTTCGATGCTGAAGCACACAATTTCAACGAAAACCAGCTCTGGATTGATCGAGCTTTGGAAATAAACAAGATAAAGGCTCAGCTGAAGATGGAGCGACAGAAGCTGCAGAAGCTACGTGGTGTTGAAGACCCAGAAAACTCTTTAGATAGAGGATGGCTGAAAGCTCAGCTTGCAGAACTCACAGAACAGGCAAAAAAAGAACACACAATCTTAGAGCATGATTGGGACGAAAGGGTACAGAAACTCTTTCGCAAGGATCCGGGTTTCTTCCAAGTAGAGATCAGCATATTTCAACATACGCATGATAGAAAGAAGATTGCGCAAGAGAGGAGAGATAGTGCAACGAATCATGATCTACAACTTGAGCGGGTTAAAAAATCACTTGACAAAGCACGTTGTGCCCGCCATACTCTAAGGTGGCGGAGAAATGTATTGCCAGGGATTCTAGAGAAATATGGCTAAATGAAATGCTTAAGGTACTGTGTTATTGTGGATGTATTAGCAAGTGGTTTACCTAACAATCCTCGAGATTCTCCTCTTTGTATTCCAATCGTGGGTTTGCTCTATATATTATAGATCAGCCGCAAGTTGCTTGCAGGAGGGTGGTTGTCCTTCTTCTATCTGTCTTTCTGCCGAGGTATCGCAGCTCCCGCTGACTTAAATTGACTTCAATATGATTCGATTGAATCTCAACCATTCGATGATTATTCGACTAACCAAGGCACAAGCAAATCCAAATTGGTTTGGGACTTGGGACAGCTTTTGGGACTGGTTTGGACGTGTGTGCGGACTCGGACATTCTCAATTGCCAGGTAAAGAGGTAAAGTGCTTTGGAATGTCTGAAGAGCTCCGAGTGTTGGAAGAAAGCTTTGGCAAAAGAATGTCCAAAATAAGACCTTGCACATAGAAATCCCCACCCACGGCGAATTAGCCGTTTCATTTTTTTGTCATCATTATTTAAATGACATGCCCCTTTAGATTGAGCTTCGTGTAAGCTTTCTGTTGGTGTGCTACTCTCTATAGTACAGTCAATATCAAGGAAGATATCATCGCCGAAAACTGATCTCTTCGCACCGTATCGCGCCGTACAGATCCTACACGAGCGAAAAACTTAGCCGGTCGTGGAAGGGTGTTCCGACACGGACGATGCAAGACGAAGTGGTGGGGATTTTAATGTGCTGGGTCTTAAATAATGACACAATGTCATGACGTCATGACTCCACTCTCAATTGCCCTGTTTGGAACATTCCTCAACCGGTACTAGTGTGCATATGTCTCCGTTGAATTCATACAAGAGCTATTCAGGCTTAGAGGCGAATCCGAATTTCAACCCTCATCCTCTGGCTTCTCTCCCTTTCTAGTTTCTGTCGTAGCTCTGGCCTTGACATTCAGACGAACGCAAATGGTTTAATGTCATTTTCTCCTGCACTTCATTGATGACGATTGAAGAGCTTTTGAAGAATCTTCAAGAAATATTAACGGCATGCTTCTCCCAGTCATAAGAACCCCCGTAAACCTGTTTGGAATGCCATCAGCGTTCCTTCATTTCCCTCGGGTCATTCGTCGCAACTGCCTTCAATCGATCGTAATCCCACAAAAACCCAAAACTTCTAAACTTCTCCCTCGCATGCAGCAATCGTCCAAGCATTTTTCATAAATTTATTATTGCTTTGCATTATGTGCATGATAGAAGCAACCGACTACGCCATCATGGCACCCAACAATACTGCCCACATGCCGCCATCAGGAGTAGATCTACAAGATGAAGACGACGGCGACGACTTGGAGGTAGACGATCGAAAAATCGCGGCGTTGGTGCGTAGCTTGAGCGGTCAACGATTGGACATGGAGACCACGAGACCACCGAGACAATCGGTAAGACGACCGAGGCAATCTGTTAGTTTCGACGTCCCGCCGTCAACTGGCATTGCTTCCGCCACCCAGAAGCAAGCTCGACGACCAAGCCATCGTGGTAGCGTTGCTTCGACCCCGCATCAGCAACGGTCAAGTCGTCGTGGTAGCCTCACGTTTGTTCGTGCGCCCCAGTCAGCTGGCGTCGCCCTACAAGAGGGACGGGCGAATCCTCTGCGACGCGCTGCGACAACCTCTTCTGCCGTGCCTTCCGGTAGTACGGAGGTCCTCGAGCAGAAAAAGATCATTAGCCGGCGGATGCGTCGAGCCACCATCTACGCTCCGCCCGCAAATTTACCGGTAGCACCGCATAAGAGAAAGTCCTGCACGAATGGCTCGATATCGACGGCACAAGCACCCGATGTCTGCTTACTGCTCATCTTGGGCGGGGCTTCCTTCAAGAGTGACACCGATTCCTTCGTTGGCGTTACGAATGAACGGATCCGATCCTACTCGTTGGAAATCTCTCAGGCCATTCGCAACAACGAACTGCCTCTGATTCGGAAACTATTTTCCAGTGGCGCCGCCAATGTCGATGGCTGTACGAATCACGGAGAAAGCACAGTCCATCTAGCCGCGCGGTTGGGGAGACTCGATATCCTCAAATTCCTCGTGGACGAAGCGGGAGTTTCCCTCCGCGTCAAAGATGACAATGGCCGGACTCCACTGCATGACGCCTGTTGGACCAACTCGGACAACTTTGAGCTCATACACTTTCTGCTGGCCCACTCTCCGGATCTCTTGTTTGTCTTTGATAAGAAGGGTTACTCGGCGTTTCAGTATATCCCACAAAAGTGCTGGGGGGAATGGAGTCAGTTCCTACACTCGCATGCGGCCTTTCTTCGTGAAAAGGTCAACGACTGTCGACACCGCAAGACCAAAGATCAACTGAGTGATGCACAGAAACGTGTACAAGCTCTGCTCCTCAAGGCGAGTCAGTTTGGCATTGGAATGGAAGGGATTCAATGTGCTACCAGTGCCTAATAACTAGCCAGGAGTAACAAACTCGCTCCCCCTTCTGCTAATAGCTATACGAGAGGCATGAAAGACGGTGCTCCTCCAGTTGTAATATGTTAATGCATCAATAGAATCCACCTCAGGTCAAAACATCTCATTACCACCGGTACCAGATACATATAGCCCAGGAATCAAATGCAGTGCGAGACATTTGAGAAGCTTTTCTCGCAACCATGTTGGATGTTGGATAGACCAGCAGGGACCCTTTCCCGACAATGTAATAAAGTACCTTCAATCACATTGAGTCCATGCAGTGGTCGCAACTCAGATCAAGCGGGCTTCTCTTCAGTATCTAGACACTCAGATCAGCACAGTCTTAGTCGTCACCATCACCATTATCGGCATCTACTATTTTTAACCATGGATTGTTTCAATAAAATGAATAGAATACATGTCGAAACGTTCACTGCCAGCTAAAAGATAGTCCAGGTATCGAACACTCGGACCAGCTCAGTCTTTTAGTAATCACTATTGTCGGAATCCTCCTCTTCTGGGCATCCATTCTCAAGTGCCCATTGTAGACACTCTGATTGGCCCTCACCAGCAGCAGCCTCGCATGTGCGACTGTCCCAGGGGCAGCCATTCTCCCTAGCCCATTTCAGAACCTCCAAACGACCCTCACCAGCAGCGCCAGAACAGGTTGTTTCATCCCATTCACAACCATTCTCTCTGGCCCATTGCAAAATGTTCAAATGCCCACCTTCTGCAGCAAAAGAACAAGTGCTCACATTCCAAGGGCATTGATTTTCTCGGGCCCATTTGAGAATTTCAAGGTGGCCATATCCAGCAGCTAGGGCACAGGTATATTCATTCCATGGACAGCCATTCTCATGGGCCCATTGCAGAATGGCAATGTGGCCCTCACGCGCCGCCAAGGTGCATGTCTCCGCGTTCCAAGGACAATCATTGTCTCTAGCCCATTGTATAATTTCAAGTTGACCATTTTCAGCCGCAAATGAACAAGTCTGTGTGTCCCAAGGACACCCATTCTCGAGCAACCATTTCAGAACATCGAGATGATTGTATTGAGCGGCATGTGCACACGTCTCTTCATCCCATGGGCATTCTTTGTCACGAGCCCACTTGAGAATGTCCATATGACCATTTCTTGCTGCATAGGTACAGGTGTAGCTGTTCCATGGACATCCATTGTCATGAGCCCATTGGACAATCTCGAAATACCCGTACGAAGCTGCAAAGGTGCACGTATTTTCGTCCCAAGGGCAACCATTCGCACGAGCCCACTGTAGACATTGGATTTGCCCACCAGCGGCTGCTGCAAGGCATGTCCCTGAATCCCATGGGCACCCATTCTCGTGAAGCCATTGGAGGCATTCCAATTGACCCTCATGTGCAGCATGTCCACATGCCTTTTCGTCCCATGGACAGCCATTGGCTCGAGCCCACTTGAGAATGTTCAAATGGCCACCTCTAGCTGCATCCCTGCATGTTTTGCTATCCCAGGGGCATCCATTCTCCCGGGCCCATTGGAGAATGTCCAAACGACCTGCTTCTGCCGCATTCGCGCAGGTATCTTCATCCCAGGGAAAGTTGTGGTCACGAGCCCACTTCAAAAGTGCAAGAGGAGCAGCAGGAAGACTGGCAATGCCATCGCAAACAAAATCGTGATTTGGTGCTTTCTTCTCTGAGCTGTCCGCGTGCCAGTATTCTGCACAGTCGATATTGTAGAATGCAGCACTGTAGAGTGTGTCGGTGGCACGGACGGGAATTCTGTCATGCTTCATAATTCCCGCATTCCAGTCACCTTTCAAGTTTGGAGGATTTTGTTCTTTTGCACAGTATTCTTTGTATAGTTTGTTGAAAATTTTGTTCACAGCTCCCACAAAGGCAAAATGTCCCATTCCGATAAAAGGAAGAATTAATCCAATCCAGATATCTTTTCGCTCCAACAACAAGACATCCTGACTATTACTGGTGGTAAAGGAGCTGCTGCGGTTGACTGGTAGAGACATGGCTCCGACTGCTGAAGCTACTGAAAGCTATGGAACTACTCCTAGTGACTATGTCTAATCGTTTCTCCTGATCTGTAGAGGAACTCAGTGAAGGATCGAGCAGTACAACGCAACAGCGGTACTTGTACGATGTGCTGATCGGAAATGGGCAAGACGGAAAACACCATGACACATGCACCCGTCCGAGCAACGATGGGTAATGTGGTTGGTTGGTCGACCATCCTTAGGGTTAGAGCTCTATCAAAATGGACTTCAGCCCCCCGCTGGCGGTGGAGCTAGACCCCCCCCCCCGTTAATCGAATCTCTACATGTACTATGAAGATACCAGGGGAAGTCACACTCAGAGCCGAGTGAGTAAGCTTGAAGGAGATCAAGAATTTCATAGCTTACCCCCGTGTGGGTCTGAAGTATAACGTCTAGTTCTGTTTGCGTTGAAGCTAACGGTGTGGAAGTACGTAAAACATTAAGGTGGAGGAGAATGTGGTGAACAGACTTTTTTTAGGGTTACGATTCTTTTGCTGCTGCGCTGCCTAGCATATGTGTGACTCCGTCATTTCTTAGTTTTTTGGTTTGAGTCTTTGAATTTGGTTTGAGTGTTTGCACAAGATATGGATACAGTAGTGTTGTCTGGGTGGTAACAATTCCAGTCAGGACCTTAGGAATGTTACCATTTTTGAATCCTATGCCCAGTGGGCATGAGTTTCAGGGACGGGTGAATGTGATTGTGTAAGCATTTTTGTGGAGCATGGGTTGTTAGAGGAAGTCAAAGCACACATGACAGAAACCAAAACCAAAACAAAAAACGAAAACCAAAACGAAGACCAAACAAAAAATGGAAAAGAAAGTAATAAACTGCCAAACCAGACTACCAAGCCAAAAACATTATCTTTCGAATCTGGTGCCCATTGGGCATGCTATTCAATAACCTTAACCCTATTACTTCAATGTTACCTTAAATCCAAATTTCTATGCAGTCATATTTCTTAATACTCTTGCCACCATCTACTTAAGGCAACTTGCAATAAGTCTATAAAAAGCCTTAGTTTGACCAGTAACTGTTTTCCAATGCATGCTCTTATATTATATCATCATGTATATTATATATATCTAAGTAATGAACATGCTTGCCTAAGTAAATATCCAAGTTTTGCCTATGTCACATTTTGGATAAAATGTATCTATATCTGAGGACTTTTATGCATTAAATAGGATACTTGCCTTTTTGGCTGGCTTTCTGCATTAAATTTCTCCAGCTACTAAGATATGGGTAATGCTCGATTCAGCTGAAATGCCAAAATGCTACAAAATTAGCTAAATACTCAAAATGATAGTTCTAGGCGCCACATCACCAGACAGACCCACACGGGGTTGATCATAGTACATGTACTTCTTACACTCTCTCACCAAACATCTCTCCTCTTTGCACAGTTCAAAGTGGTCCCACCCTTACTTGGTGGTGTGTGGCTATTAATGCTCAGCTCAGCCTTGCTATTCGTTGGGCCAGCCACCTTTGCATGTGAGAGGCTCTCATGTCTCTACCGGCACAATGACCTACTGCCGTTCCCTCTGGGAGGCGGGTGGTGCACGTGCCCTCTTCCACTAATCTTGCCCCCTATTGCTCCCTTGCTACTTCCTCCTTTGCCCCCTCTCTTCCCCTTGCCCTCCTTAGTCCTGCCCCCATCCTCCCTGCTCTCTCCCTGTGATACCCCACCACCGGTGCCCTGCTCTGCCTAGCTTAGCCCTCCTCACCCATTTAGTACTTATTTCTCTTCTTTACTGCTCTTTTCGTCCAACAGACTGCCCCCACATGTCTACAACACTGCAGTGCCATTTTTGATAGCTATAGCGGCAAGTGGTTTTGGACAGTTCAAATACTCGATTAGAGATAGAACTTCTACATCTACAACTACTACTATGACTATTACTGGCTAGAAAACACATCCATCTTCAAGTCACCTCTCCACAGATGGAAGCACTCGCAAATGGAATGAAAGGTATTATGTATCTTAGATCGGAACCTCAGTCTTCGAACTCGAAAACCCTCTGCGAGCTCGACGAAGGCACCAGGACATCGAAGCTGGTTGAATGGTAGAAACATCGGTATTCTCATTCTCAAAGAATACTCTCAGTGGACTCAGATCCTTCACTGTCATAATCCTCCTGTACCGGTAGTGGACATCCATTCTGACGTGCCCATCTATGACACTGTAAGTGGCCTCCATCGAAAGCAGCAGCGAGGGTGCTTCCATCCCAAGGGCATCCATTCTCATGTGCCCATTTAAGGGTTTCCAAATGACCATTTAGGGCAGCAGAAAAGCATGTATCCTCATCCCAAGGGCATCCATTCTCATGGGCCCATTGTAAAATGTTCAAATGGCCATTCTCTGCAGCATTGGCACATGTACCCTCGTCCCATGGACATCCATGCTAGTGTGCCCACTTTAGCAGTTCAAAATGTCCATTAAGAGCAGCCTCAGAGCAGGTCTCTTCGTCCCAAAGGCATCCACTTTCATGCAACAATTTGAGAATTTCCAAGTTGCCAAGTAGAGCAGTGTGAGCACACGTTCCCTCATCCCAAGGAGCTCCATGTCCATGTGCCCATTTGATAATTTCGAAATGTCCTTGAGCAACAGCAGCTCTTGAGCACGAACATGCATCCAAAGGGCATCCATTTTCATGCAACCATGTGAGAATTTCAAAGTGCCCACTTCCAGCAGCAACAGTGCATGTGCCCTCATCCCAAGGGGCTCCTCTTTCATGCGCCCATATGAGCATTTCCTTGTGTCCATTTTCAGCAGCATTTCTGCATGTAGCGGCATTCCATGGACAACCATTTTCATGTGCCCATTTTAGAATTTCAAAGTGACCATTTACAGCAGCACTCCTGCAGGTATTGGCATTCCAGTCGCATCCATTCTGCCGCAACCATTTTAGGGTTTCCAAATGACCACCTTCTGCGGCACTCGCACAGGTATCTCTATCCCACGCGAATCCTTGCTCGCGAGCCCATTGAAGAACAGCAATGTTCCCAAGCTTGGCAATTTCATCACAAACTCCATCTTCATCTGGCAACTTATGGAACCTCTCTTGTCGGTAAGCATGCCAGAATTGGGCACATGCCACACTTTGAAAAGCCACTCTAAAATGATCCACCAATGCAAACTCATGATCCTGCTTGTCTCTGTGACAATATTCTTTGTATAGTAGATAGAATTGTTTGTTGACAGCACTCACATAGGCATAGTGCCCAATGCCTAGAAAGGGGAATATATGTCCAATCCAGATATCTTGTCGCTCGAGCACCAACAAGGCACTATTCTGACAATTACCGGTAATACCGGACATGGTTTCTGCTTCTGAAGCTAGCTAGCTGTGGTTACAGTACCACTCCGACTGACTAGCCACCAGTAAGTCTAGTCTGTTCTCCTGTCTGTTCTCCTGAACTAGCTAGACTATCCTGGTCGATGGAGCAAATCGATGAATCAACGAGCAGCACACTTGCAATTGCAATGGCAATGGCAACGACGACGGTCGGATGGAAGCACGAGCATCCATGCAATGGCACGAAGATCCAAGGGTTTGGCAAGCAAAGATACTCTATTAGAGTTAGAGCTACTCGAAATTTGTATGTGTCCGGGATTGCTACATTTAAGTCTTCGGTTCCCGCGTTTTCATGGCTGGCGTTCTTCTATTGGTTTCGAAACGAAGGGGCGAACAAGGACCAAGACAAGCAAAGGGGACAATGATGGGAGGAGACCGCTCCAACTCTTACTTGTCACTCCATCCATCCATCCATCCATCCATCCATCCATCCATCAATCGCAACTGAAGTGAAGTAGTATACAGTAGTAATATACAATGATGACTCCACCGCCATCAGTGTCGGTAGAAGAAGGCCGTGTTGTCACTACTCCAACCGAAGGTCTCGGCACAGGAACTCCACCGCATGGAGGCGCCCCAGGTTCCCCCAATTTCCATTCGGAGCAGCCAAGTCATCATCCGCCAGGACCTCCGTCTCTTCCAGACCATTTGTCCACGCATCAGCAGGAAGATGAGGAAAATATGCACACCAGTACTTCTACTACCATTCATGGTGAACCTCAAGGAGAGCACACTACTGCTGTCACTACAGACAACAACCCCATGGCCGCCGTGGGCACTACTACTACAGGCACTACTACAGGTGCTACTACAAGTAATAATACAGTGGTGGAGATTTGGGAACCGTTAGAAGACGACATAATCGGAGGCCGTGGCGCCAAAGTCAACGGTCGACCGGGCAACAAACGATTTCGCGCGCTTTGTTTTTCCCGCAAACCGGAATTCGATGCGGGCAATCATGCAGCCAAACGACGCATTGCTACCGAAATTGTGCATTTGCTGCAGTCTCAACATCAGACGCGTTTTCTCAAAAAGTCGGCTAGTGCCAATAATGGTGGTTGGAACGAAATGACGCAGGAACAAGCCATTCAAAAAGCGTGTCAAGTCATGCGCGATTATCGACGACCCGATCGATTGGCCTTACGAGAAGCACAAGAAGCGCAGCGGAGTGGAAATAGTACAACTAGTACAAGCTCAGTACGACCACCACCTCATCCACATCCACACAATCATAACCACAATATTCCACCGCCCCTGAATAATAAACCCAACAACAACAGCAACCAAAACAAATTCAAACAACCCACTCCTACTGCTCCTACGCCAACTACACAGCTTACTCCGTTTGTCGAAAATCCATTTGGCGTACGAGATCACGATATTTTGAGTGGCCGAGGAGCCTTTGTCAATGGACACGTCGGGAATCAACGATTGCGAAAATTGGCATTGGAACGAAAGGAAGCCTTTGACAATGGAAATTTTACGGAAAAACAGGCATTGGCGTCGGAAATTGTCACGCAGATACGAGCGTTGGGGGGACGGTTCCTCAAGAAAAAATCAAAACAACAGCAACAACAAGGAGACGACGAATGGGAAGAATTGTCCGACGATAAAGCCATTCACAAGGCATGTCAAGTCATGAGGGATATCAGTAAGTACACAAACAAATATTCAAATGTAGTGTTCAAATTGAAATCCACACAATGCTTCTAATACGTTGTTACCAGACCGAGCGGATCGAGTGGACCGGGATACCAAACGAAAAGGCAAAAAACGACCCATCCACAACAATAACAACAACAACCAAAACAACAATAACAACATGCCCCATCATCATCATCATCCGCCACCCGTACCGGTAGTTCCACCACCACCACCTTTTGCCACGGTAGAGGGGCAACTTCCACCCCCGCCATTGCCACCACCGCTGCCAGGAATATTCCCTCCGCCACCACCGCCACTACACCACGATCATAATAGTATGAAATCGGACGAACACGAACACGACAATCTCAAGGATGATCTCGTTGTGGCCGAGGAAGAAGAAGCACCGTCATCCAATGACAATGAACACGAACATGACAATGACATGGAACAACATGATCAACAACAACACCAACACGACGACGAAGAAGACCCAGATACAATGGACGAACAGGTGGATGATACTCCTGCTGCCGAGGCATTCATTCTAGTATAGGGAGTCACACCACACACACAACTACAACTACCGTACCGTACCGTACCGTAACGCGTGCAAATATTGGGTGATGGTGTTTCATGGTTCGGCACGGGCGAGCAAAAAAACGATCATCAGGGCTATCTTTGCTTCTTTCGTTTGTTCGTTCGTTCGTTCGATCAAGGTCGTCTTTTGTGCTCAGTGGGCGGTGGTCTCCCGTACGGTGCAAACAAATTAGAAATGCTAAACAAAAACAGAATTATTAGAAATGATATCACGAGCCAACTCAGCCAACTCCTGGTTTATGCACAAGTAGATCAAAAGGTTATAGTCTCCCGACAGGGCCACGCGTCCGTCGCCAAATAGAAGAGTAATCGTACCCTAGAGTTCGCGAGGGGCAGCATGCAATCTTCTTCTTCCGTTCATGTGCCAAGCCATCGCGGCAGCGAATCATGAACCGAATGAATCGGGTAGCATCGTTGAGCCATTGACATTTTGATCGCGCTGGAGCTGAAACGTTTTGTACCATATCATTCATTTACATGTACCGTGATTAATATTGGTGAAATACGATGTACTAGTAATTTGGCGTGGGGCGTTCTGTGGCTGCCAAAGGAAACAACGAAACGGTAATAAGTACCGGTAACAGTAGTTGAGAAGACTCAAAGACAGCCGGACAAATGACGAATCGAGTCGTGTATAAATCGAATTCTAATCGATTTTTGGAAGCGTTTTCAAAAATGCATTAGAGTGCATTTTTGCGGTCTAATGAATTTTTGAAAACGCTCCCAAAACTTAATTAGGATTCTGTTTTTCCACGACTCGAATCGTCATTCACTTCAAGGAAGATCTGTGCCAAATGCCAACTCAGTTTTGTTGGAACGTTGGAACACCCACGTGGGCTACCGGTACATCGTCTCAGCGATTTCGGCAGGTCTATGGAGTGAAGATCGAGGACATCTGTACCGTATCTACTACCCATGATGCAGATGCTGTCGGTACTACAAACCAAGCTCCATCCTGGCTCCACATCGGACCTGAATCTAGCTGGTTTTTGACTTTCTCTTTGACTATAATCTCGTTTTGAATTTCCTCTACTGTATATGAATTTTCCAAGTGTATTGCTGCTTGTGCGTGCGTATGTGTGTGTATGTTGTCTCTATTCCAATATCTGTCTGTCATGTTCTACTACAGGCAGTAGTACTACGGTTTCTGTCCACGAAGAAACTGCAGCATGACACCAAAATCCTTGTCTCCCAAACCATGCAATGTTGCCATATGGTACAATTCCTTGGACAAGACTCCCACGGGCAGTGCGACACCCGCATCGGCACCGGCACTGACGGCCAAACTCAAGTCTTTTTGCATGAGTTTGGATCCAAATCCACCTTCGTACCGATTGGCTGCCGCGCCAGTGCCTCTGTCAGTGGCAACGACGGGATGTGGATTGTTGACTTCGCACGACCAGGATTTGGCCGTGGACGTGTTCATAACTTGTGCGAGCACAATGGGATCGACGCCGAGACTTTCTCCCAAATTCATGGCTTCGCAAATCCCGAGCATTTGTGCCGCCAGTGCGAGATTGTTGCACAATTTCGTGGCGGATCCAGCGCCGGCGGTTCCACAATGAATGGAACGTTGTCCCATGATATCCAAAAGTGGTTGGGCATGTTGGAGGGTGGCGGGGTCGTCACAGCCCACCATAAAGGTTAGTGTCCCATCGGTCGCTCCCTGTGTATATACGTGATGGCAAAAATTTGTACGGAAGAAAGGAATGGTGGGATGGCATGAAAAAAGACAAGGACGAAGTAGCAGTGTCATTTATTTTTCCAACTAACCTTGACACCACCAGAGACGGGAGCATCCATTCTGGTGTGACCTTTTTCTTTTAGCTCTTCATTCCATCGCCGGCTCGTCGAGGGGTGGACCTATAGATAGAAGACGCCAAAAATGCAAGACACGTATAGAACAACGTTTGGGGTGAGGTAAACAGAAAAATTGATTTTGATGATTTTTCAGTCCAGCATATCTACAGTACAAACGTACCGTGGAGCAATCCACAAAGAGTGTAGATGCATTTGGATCACAGCTTTCCAGCAGCATAGGAGTGACTGCATCCACGGCCTGACATCCTGGTAGCATGGTAATAATGACAGAACAATTGGAGGCTCCAATTTCTTCCACAGAGCTTGCCGTGCGCATTCCCGCCTCCTTGGCCAAATTCAGCGCCGTTGGATTGGCGTCAAAGGCAATCACATCCATCTTGCTATCATTCGCCGTCGCCAGATTGATGCTCATGGGCAATCCCATGTTGCCCAGACCAATAAATCCCACGGAAGACATGGCAGCGGTAGACGAAGAAAAAGATCTTCCTGCTGCAGCTAGTACTCCTTGCGAAGACTTCAGCCGGGTCAAAATCCGAGATGAAAGCGTCATGGGGGAAATACTTTATGATGGAGTAGATGATCAAGGTTCTTGACAATTTGTCTTGAAAGAAAGAATGACCTCTTTGACCGTCAGACTAAGAGACTACCAACGGATCTTCAAATCAATAGACGGGTTCTTAGCAATCAAGCGCTTTGACACTGGCGCTGTTGAATCCTCTAGTCCTAGGTTGCTACTCCTATTGCTAGCTAGCCACTACACTTGATGGTTCTTTGTCAGCCTTGGAAAGAATTCTCAAGCTTCATGCTTGATGGCAATCGTTGTTGTCATGATGGCGAAGTCGACGAAAAGAAGGAAGAGTTCGTCGTTTCACCAAAGATACTGTTCTTATCCCTAACTCCAATGAAGATACAATTCGCATGTTTCAAAAACCCTCGCACCGCTTAAATTTGCCTTGCACAAACAGAGAGAAAAGTGGTACTTCGGGTACCAAGTCCACTGCCAGGAAGATAGACTATGAAGGCTTTGTAAAGAAGCCAGCAGCTTGTTCGAAGTGAAAGAATGATTCAATCGAATCGTATGATCTATAATGCTTCCGATGAAGAAGCTTGCTTGAACATTTGATGTTTTGGCCTACATGTGCTGCCGCCAGCAGTGGAGTTGGATTGGGGGACGCTCCTGGCATCAATGTGCTTATGAGTAAGAAGGGCGATCCATTCGGCCATCCGAGCGATTTTTCTGGGGTAACCTCATGGGTTGGAAGTCTTGCAGAAGCTGGCCAAGCCAGCCATTTGTAGCAATTGAGTCGAACCACTGTCCGCAAGTGATGTGGGAGTCGCCTTGGTACGTACTTGTAGTCGTGACAACCTATGATGCTTGGCCAAAGACACGGTAGGAATAAAGAGCGCGCCTTCTTCATGAGGATCAGTCAGAGGAGGAAACTGCTATAATAGACACAACTGAAGCTTTGAAACGCAAGGACCATGGTGAAAGTTCCTTAATAGATTGTGGACTATACTCCAAGCATGGAGAGTGCCAATCGAAACCAAATGGTTGCTGGCAGCTTGACATTCCTCTGCCGGGATGTCATTCATTTTTGGTGCTGTGCCATACAAAGCTACTCGGACGACGGACAGAGTGAGACTTCTTTTACAGAGTCGGCCTGTATGTAAATAGGCCGCCCTTTCAACATAGTATTCTACAAATATACCAAAATTGTCATTTATTTCTATTCTTGAAGTACCTTCTGGTTTCGAGATAACTGTTTGTTGACTTGTCTCGTGAGATACAAAGAGAATTGAGAACCCGAAAATGGTTTAACAACTGTTCTCAGAACGCTTACGAAATACTACAGTACTGTACCATGGAATGATCACTCGAAACACTAAGAGTAGACTACTTGCATTATTAAAAATAGTGTGGCCACCGAGTAGTACCGGTACTGGTACCGGTACCCAGTGAGGACTTTGACTGTGTGCTTTAGAACTTGGCATGTTACAGTCATTATGGCTTGCTAGCTAGAGTTACTGGCTTCCGTAGATAATTTCCCTACTCTAAAACCCCCCTTATACTATAGTACAGTGTACAGTACATGTACTAGCTAGCTAGCCGGCCACCCAGTACTCTAGGACATTGTAGGTACTGGTGCCGTGATACTAGTTTGCATGCGTACGGTACGATACCGGAAATTGAGCTTTGATTCATACTATTTTAAAATAGTACTTACAATTACGAAAGTCGCTACGTGTACCAGGTACAGTATTTGATGGTGTGTTTTTATTAATGACTCTTGACTTTTGTCTCTTAAAGTCTTATTTATGCTTATTTGTAGAAAACATACTTAACAATCATCTCCCTTAGGGTTCTTCTGTCATTTCCTTATCAGAAAGCGATTTTTACGAAACGATACATTTTTTACTGCTGATGCCCGGACGCTATGATCTTGTACAGGTGAGCTTGAGAAGATTCA